TAAAAACCTGAATTATTTAAAAGAGAAATTAAAATTTCAAGGAAAAGAAAAACGTATTATATCCGAAATAAATAATAAAAACATCAGGTTTATTGAAGAGCCGAAAGAATAAAAATAAAGTTTATTACGAGCCGTTCACCCCCAGGGCCTTGCATCTCCAAGCCATCAGCCTCCAATGGGCGAGACTTATCTGTTAAACATTTAAAAAATAACAAATAATTTTTGATATTAAATAAACTCCATTTAACCTTGCATGCACTTTATATGAGAATATTAATTGATGGCAAGTGTATGCCAATAATATCTTTTGATTTAAAAGTTGAATAAAACTGTACTAAAAATTAATAGAAATTCATTGGTATTTTTAACATACCGACATGAAGAAAAGCTTTCCCCATAAAGCATTTTACATGAAAATTATTTCAACAATCACTGAAAAATAGCAATTTTCAAAAAATCATAGAGAAATTTTTTTCTCAAAAGTAGATTTAGCATAAATGATATACTGCATACATGAGCAATATCATCCACTAGCTGTAGCATTAGTTAACAACAATGAATGCGATATGATATTTTTTCATGTCATGCACTATTTATTGGACATTTCGCTTATTTTTCCGCTTCTATAGAAGGAAACATTAAACTGTAGCTTGTTTATCATCGTAACTCTGCAGTCTTGATTAATTTAATATGTTTATGCGAATTTTGAGTCAGTCTATTTCAATATCTAACCTAGCAATTCAAATTTTATTTATGGTAATTTTATGACTGATTTTTTATGTGTATGACTTCCATGATTAATCTCTCGCCTAATTCAATCAACGCGGACCATTTAGATTTCATTCGTTCATTAATTTAGAACAACATAATTTTAACCGATGAATTACGTAGTTTAGTAATTTAGTCTTACAAAACAACGTTAGTGTTCTATTTTCGTCGGGTATTGCAGAACAATGACTGGATTTTGGTCGCCTAATTGATAATTGGTACCACATAATTACTTTGTTCACCTAATAGCTGCATCGTAGGCGCATATCTGTTTGTTCTGGACGGAGTTTGGAGTTGTTTTTGTCTCATGTTTATATGAGTGGGTTTTAGTTTTGGGCTTTAACTTCAATTTATAGTTCTTAATTACCAATAATTTTCAACTGAATTTTCTCAAGGAACATCCGAACTCCGTATAATTCTGTGAGTAAAAACTCCATTGCTTGCATAGTTTAGGGTCTAGAATGAAATTAAACAGGCCTACATTTTATGTCCAGGGAAAATGCCTACATGACGTTATTTACGGAACAGAAGTTCAGCAGGAAAAATCTTTTACTGTTAGAACGGCTGAAATGTAGTCGATTAACCGGCACGCGGATAGCCGCGCTCGGACCTCCGACCAATTGAGCCCGGCATTCCTTCACGATGTCCCCTAAACCAGACATCTGACGCTGAATCGACGTTGAATTAAACGTTTTTTTTTTCAATCAAAGTTACTTAAACGTAGTTTCAGCGTCATTTGCCAGATGGGTGCTGTCTTTTGTCTCTTCGTCATCGTCCTAACCGCTCAGCGTCAATCAACGTCTGTCGCCAACGCCCCTCGATCATCGCCCTTCACCGAAGTCCCTCATCGCCCTTCACCGAAGTCCCTCATCGCCCTTCACCGATGTCCTTCATCGCCCTTCACCAATGTCCCTCATCGCCCTTCACCACCGTCCCTCATCGCCCTTCACCACCGCCCCTCATCGCCCTTCACCAATGTCCCTCATAGCCCTTCACCAATGTCCCTCATCGCCCTTCACAATCAGAGAACAGAAGCCTGCAAATGATCGCCGTATAACCAAGATGCTGAGGGAGGGGATGGACCATAAACGAGGCGAGGGCTTCAGCAATGAGGGCTCCTGACATACGTCGAGAATGTAATCGAGAACGGCTTACAAGAGGCAGCCTCATAAAAAAGATATAAGAGGTTGTCCAGTATTGGATGTATGGCCGGTTATCTTCTAACGATTAGCAACCGATTTTATTAATGGAATAAGAAGGGAAAAACGAGCAACCAAAAAACTTGAGTTATTTATTAGCTCAAGCGAATCAATGGTCCCTAATGTGAAAATGTGGGCACAACATTCCAATTTCATTCATCAGCTCTATGCTGAGCATTTATGATGCAAAATTAAGTTATTAGCTATGCGGATCCATTAGCACGAGACATAACTATTAATATTGATAAATAAGAGCTTCATTTAATTGAATAGTAGGCACAATATCAATGTTAATAGTAGGCACAATATCAATGTACTTTTGCATTATTACCATTTTTTTATCTCTTTCTATAGAGCAAAGTGTGACCAATTAAGAAATAAGTATTAACGAATAAAAAACACGTAATAACGTATAACAAATGAGCTCAATATCATTATTTGTGAAAGTGAATAACAGGATGACAATACTAGAATCTACTACTAGAATAGGCAATTGGAATAATAGGCTGACTCTAAACAGTGTCGTGCAAAGATAAGAAGAACCAAAGTGAAAACACCAGCTGGCTGACGTGTGGTCGATGGCTGGCTTAAAGCTGGCCGGCGAGAGAAGACTTCAATTTAAATCTCAATTTTAATATGGTTTATTTCGTAAAAATATCCAAGACTTATTCGAAACCTTTGTCAGGCTCAGGATTAGCGTCGTTTGCCGTCGTCGTCAGTGTCTTCGACGTTCTCATGAAGACGGGAACAACAAACCTGGGTTTCTGATTATAAATATATCTTATTTCTAGAAGATCCATTCGAGGAAACCTTGGAAGAGACCTCGTCTCTGAGCCCCTGAGGGGTTCTTTGACAACTTTAAATTTCGCTCAGATCGAAGTCCGGAGAACCACACAAGACCTTCATCTGCTGCTGGAATTGGAATTTGGTGTACGCATTTATCAGGATGTCTCTTTCGGTGCATGGCTCCCTCCAGGTCTTCTATGGAGCAAATTGTCGAACTGGGGATTTTGAAGATTTTTATAAATGGGTTTTTAATAATTTTTGATATTTGATATCAATTGTATTTTACAAATTTTCAAGATGGGTAGATTGATGTAAATATGCTGATAAATTAATCAATAGCCCTGATATTATGAAGTGAAAAAATATGACGAAATTAAAATTTTTAGGAAATCTGGCACGAATCTTCTCAATTTTTCAATCTAAATTTTTACTCCCATCTCATTATGGTGATACTGGGTGCATAATCGTCATATCCTTTAATTCAAGATTGCTTCTGTCACAACTTACAGCTTTAGGTTGCATTTCAGTCATATCCTGCAGTTATAGAATGCATCTCTTTCGCATCTTGATACTGGGTGTATCTATGTTACATGTCGAAGTTTCAAGATTTACGTCTATTCAAGTTGATTGAATCAATTGCTCAACTTAGTCCACAATAACAGAGGATAAAGTGCGAATATATTATTTAATCATAATTTATTATATAATAGTATATTATGTAATGTAATATTATTATATTATATTATATTAGAACTTAATTATTATAATGTAAGAGTCAAAAGTCAAATTAGTGTAAGCATCGAAGTTGCACCTTAAAAAATGATACGAAATCTGAATATTAATCGAGTATAATGAACATTGTAGAGGCCTTAAATTAAACGTTATTTTATTGTTAGGTATCAGGCTTTTATTTAATAAATGTGTTGTCAAGTTGGAATGAGTGTTAGAAGGTTTGAATTGTAGGATTGTAAGAATGTTTTAGAGAGAACTGAAACTGTGCTGGGAAATTGCGGATAGGAAAAGGCAGCAGTAGGAACGCGGTCGTGAAAGCAGCCTCTGGTGGAATCTCATGTGAGGCACTGTGCAGGGCATGTTAATAGTCATTAACCTGGGATGAAGTATGTATATATCGCTCAAATAAATCTCTTGCAATATTTATCATTGATATTACAATCGAACAGCTCCAGTCTCTTAACATGGCTGCTCTCTGCAATGTCTCATCTCTGTCTTTTTGCCCACAGTTGCGCAAATCCTGAGCACTATTCTGTCCGGGGGCTACCTTGGACGAGTCTCCAGAGCTCCCTCAGCTCTAAAAGAAGAAGAAGAAGAAGAAGAAGCCTCTGGTGGTTCGTAAAGCTAGTCTCTCGCACTGAAGCTATAATAGATGCCTATTTGTCGCGTTACAGTGTTTTGTGTGAAGAAAACTTTTATTGTAAATGTAACGTCTTGTGCAATAAAGTATTTTACTGGGACCGTGATTTAAATGAACATTGAACCTGCCACTATACGCACGACAAGATAATGGAACAGAAATTGATATAGTGCCAATTGTTTTATAGGAAATAGAAATCGTTTAGACAAATATAAAACGGTTAAGCAAACTGTGGACGTCAAGGTCGAAGTGAGGTTCAAGTGAAACTGAATTTATGAAAAATGAAGCAAGGTTGCAGTCGTTCTCAGTAATTAGTAAATTAAATTAATTTTTTGTCGATTGGTTCAAGAATGTAAAGAAAATTTAGTAAAAAAGGATTAAATATGAATGTGTCCCTACAGATCTTCCAATATACTTAGATTTGATTGTACATCTTACTTTATCATTCAGTTTTCAGCTTTAGTTCTCACCTTCAGTTCTACATCAAAGGCAGCAGCCTCAGCAACTGATCGTACATCAAAGGCAGCAGCCTCAGCAAGTGATTAGGGACAACAACAGATTTATTATTTTGATAATAATCATGATTATTATCAATTACCTCTCATGAACTTTGTAATATTTACTTTTTCCTTTCGATTATTATTATTACACAAAATTTTACCTAAGATCAGCTGGGATGTCTAAATAACACAAATCTTTGAATTAGCCCAAAGAGATAAAATGATTGAAATTTACTTGAACGCACCGGATACATGATCTTATATATATAGCTTTTAATTTGCAATCGGTAAAAAACTGAAATCTATGGACCGAAAAAAATGCCATAGACGCTAAAAAATATTTACTAACACCTCAATGCCTTTTTTATGCCCCAGACCTGTGCTGGAGACCTGCTACGGAGCGACGCCATACCTCCCGCCGCGGCGCGCGGGTGCGCACTGTATCGCCTGCAGCAGCACAGCTCGCACGCCTGCCTGCCTACGTCATCAGCCGCTCACCACTACCCTGCCTGCCGTACGACCGGCGCCCTCAACCCCAGCTTGTCGTACGCAACCCTCGACCACAGACTCCAGAGGCACGTCCTACCGCCACCGCCTCCTGAGTTCACGTCACCCACAGAAGCTCCTGTGGGAGATCCATGTGGTGTTAGCGGTGGTGGATGTGGCGGCAACGGTGATGGATGTTGCGGCAATGGTGGTGGATGTGGAGGCAACACCGGTAGCTTTGGTGGGAACGGTAGTGGATCTGGTGGAAATGTTTTGTGCAGCGTTGGTAGTGGAGGTGGGAATGTGGTAAGCCATAACGCCATTCTACACGTAACAGACACGGGTGGTGGCACCGCTGTAGATGTCCGCGGGTGCGGACTGTGGTCCGGATCTCGGCATGGCTTGTCGCTATCATGCGACGACCATAGCGACGGTCGGCAGCCTCTTATTTCCAATCAACATGAAAGCTCCGTTTAATGCAGCATTAATAACATTATTACTTCTTAAAACATGTTATCTAGATACATGTAGATCTGTGAAAAAATTTTCCGTGGTAAATTTGAGTCGGTTTCACGTCAGAACAACCTTTAATTAAGTTGTTTCTGCTTGTAATTTTATTTCTTAAAGTTAAAGTTATTGAGTTATTGATTAAAAAGTTAAGGAAGAAATACACAATTTTTTTTAATATTTATGATTTTATTCCATTTTTAAATCTTTAGCATTCCGAGAAGATATCATGCATATGAATAAATTATTGAGCTATATATTTGTTGTTAAGGAGCTGTATGTCATGTTGCTGAATGGAAGAATTCAGAAAAAACGTTCGTGTATATAATTATATATAGATCCATAGGACTCCAAGAAGTGTTAAGTGAAGAAGAAGTGTTAGGTTTATAACGCTCAATGCATTTTTGTATAATATGGGTAAAGTAAAAGTTGTTCGTCTTTATTCATACGGGAACGAAATATCGCGCGCACGGAAGCGTGAGGTTAGGCTGATGATTTTTATTTTCATGTATTGGAAGTCAGGAAAAATTAGATGTAGGTTTGATGAGCGGTCCTGACGGATATTGGAAGTCAGCGACAATATATATAGCATTTCTCTAGCTTAAAAATCATTGAAAAAATGAGTATGAGTCCAACGGAACAAATTAGAAGTAACGAGACCACTTCGGTGTTTCGCTGTAAAACTAACTTTTGAGTTACCGCGAAATATGATCATCACTTGTTGAGTGTGTTCATCACTCAATGAATGCGCTAATCATTCATCACTGAATTTTATCATCAATCAATAAATGCGTTTAACATTTGATGAAGGTTTTCATCAATTAAAGAATGCATCCATCACTTTATGAATGTTCTCATAAATAAATGAATGCGTTTATCACTTAATGAATGTGCTCTTCGCTTTATGATTATAAGCCAGGTTTGTTGCGATGGAATATATTGTAGGGATAATAATATATATTTAAAAATTACTTTTTAAAGACATCACTTCTAAAAAATCCAGTGTCTCCAAAGTAAAACATGTAAAATGAATTTCTAATGTTAATTTCGAATATTAAAAAAGGATATAATAGTTATTTTAATACATAAAAGAAATTAAATTTTGAAAATATTTATTCTGTCAATTGAATCATGCATTGTCTCCGACTTTACGCAAGTCTGCAAAATTTCAAGTAGATTGGACAGCTAGAAGTATGTTAAATATCGTTTATAAGATTTGTTGCAGACAAAATTATTTTTTCGATTTATTTAATATTAAAAATAAATTCTTTAATTTTTAAAATTATTTTTTCTGTTAATTGATTCATGCATTGTCTCCAACTTTACGCAACTGTGCAAAATTTCAGATCGATTGGAGAGGTAGAAGTGTGTTAAAAATCTATTATAAGATTTGTAGCAGACAGACAGACAGACAAACAAACAACAAGAAGTGAAGTTTTAGAGAAGTGTTGTAATAAAAATTGAAAAATAACAGATGGCTGTTGAGCCTTGAAGTCGCAATTGATTTATCGTTGAAAAATTTGTTGTGTTGATAATTCAACAGAATTACGTTGCTTCGTGCCATTGTCTTAGTAACCTTTAAGCGTATCTAATTAACGCGCTCTAACCATGAAATTTTGTACGATTTTCTCAGTCAATTTATTGATTAGGTTCCAATCGAAACAAATGTCCAAGTGAAAATTAATTGGAATCGTGACGCGAAAAAGTAGGATCGAAGTCATTTTTCGTTGAATGTTAGTGATACATTTTCACTGTATGGTTATTAGACGTAGTCGAGTTTTGCTGCTGCATGATGAGAATATTTGTTTTATTGCGGGATTGTAGTTTCGTTGCCATTATAGACATTATTTCATGTCAACATTAAGAAGATGCTAGAGCTTCACCGTAGAAGCAAGGTTTCTGCATTTTTTACTGATATTATCATTTTGTAAACTTTGGTGAACTCCGATTATGCTATCTAATGGCCAAATCAACAGGCTGGGGCCAAAAAATTTACTAGCTAGAATGTTGAATTTATTATTCAAATGCATCAGATTATTTTTTTGAAATCGCAGTATTCAACAAAGAATTTCCGCAGTCCAGCAGCGCGCGGACAATCTGCCATTGGTCAGAAAATTATGGTCTTGTTTCTTGTGAATGAACTTGTGGGGAAACTTTAGAGGGGAAAGTGGTTAGTGTTATCAAGGAGGATTCAGAATCTGAACTCTGAATTATTTAAAAAATCACGAAAGCTCATTGACCTTGGTGCTAAAATTTTTCCAAGCATGCTATTTTTAAACTACGTAATTAATTTCAGCCACATTTAGAAGCAATTAAAAATTTAACGTGGCGATGCAATTTTCTAAGTGGAATATGTTATTATTCAACTTTTTTGACATTCGGCATAATTGATAACAATATTCACTGACTTTTCGCTCTAATCACTCAAACAAAATTTATACAGAAAGAAGAGCATATTTTATTCTACGAATTATTGTTATTCTATGTGCAGCAAATGCTCCTTGCCGTAGAATACACTATAATTTATTTCATTATTTATAATAGGAAGTGAAGGTGAGCTCACAATCGTTGGAAACTGCATGTTAATGTTACAGAAATAAGTGTGTCTGAGACAGAGATTTTCGTAAATTTTTGAAAGGTTTTGACTGAAGGTCATCAGGAAACGCTTTTGATTTTATCCGAAATGATTATGGTTTTCTGATTTTGACCGACATGGTAATTATTCTCATTGTATGATTGAAGTAACTTGTAAGAATGATTATTCCACTTTAAGACAGTGAATTAAGTTTTAATAAGGAAAGATGTGATGAAAGTATTGATTTTCTTTTAAATTAAATGTGATATTAACTCGGAAATTAATGACGGTGAATTTTTAAGCTTTCCAATATTTTATCCAGCAGTCTTGTTTAAAATTTTTCGTTATTAAAGTAATCAAAATATTGTACCTTAAATTCTAGTAATTGCTCACCTAATTTTATCTCGGGTAATTTTAACTACTAACTAATGGATAAAATTTAATAGAGAAACAAATTCTGTAGTATTATTTCTGACGATGAGACTAGGAACCTGTGATCCTGGACGCACATATTCAATGTGATTTACATTATACTGTATCAGGACTCAATCAATCATGAATAAATTTTTACAAATTCATAATAAGAAAGGTGATAAATTTATAAATTATATTTTATGATCAGCAAACTAGGTTTTTTCAATTTTACATATAACATTGTAGCAACGTGACGCATGTTATTTAAAGAATATCCTGTTCATATTTTACGATGTTTGCGACAAGATATGCAGGTGGAATTGTGCGCACCGCATGTATTGCTTTAGAAATATGTTCTTTCAAAATCCTGAGTCAAATTTAAACAAAACAGAATAGATGACTAACATTGTATTCTGCGTTGCCCTGAGCAAATGTTTTTATACAATCGTATTTTGTCAAGTAAAAATTACTCCCGGTTTCTGTTTTTCACTTCACGTAAATCTCGTCACCCAGAGATTATTCGTTTAT